AAATTTTATTTATGTCATCTTTTAGCATGAATAAGATTTTAATGTTGATGGAGTTAAATATGTTACTCTTTCCATATTTTGTTTTGTGTATGTTATTTAAGAAGACCCCCCCCCCCATTCCAGTTTTTTAGCTTTTTTTTAAAAATATATCTCTCTTCTCTGTTGTTTGGTTTAAAATTTTATTTATGTCATCTTTTAGCATGAATAAGATTTTAATGTTGATGGAGTTAAATATGTTACTCTTTCCATATTTTGTTTTGTGTATGTTATTTAAGAAGACCCCCCCCATTCCAGATTTATAGATATATTTTTCACAATTATTTTAAAAATAGCTTTAGATTTGTATCTTTAACCGGTTTGGAACTTATTTTTGTGATTTCTTTGAGGTAGGGACTTGATTTTCATATTTTAAAAATCAACACTCAATTGCCCCAACCCCATTTTGAATAAAGTATAATTTCCTCAGCTGTTTGACACCAACTTTATCTTTTATAAAATCCTCATATATATAATACATATATATCCATTTCTGAACTCTTTGTTCTGATTTATTGATATCCTATTCCATCTTATTTTAATACAGGCCAGTTTTAATTTCTGTATGCTGTTAATATGCTTAGATATGTTTTGAGAATTCCTTGTCTTTGCTCTTCTTTTTAAAAAATATCTTTGATATTCTTATGATTAAGGCCTCCTACATGAATTTTTGAATCAGCCTGTCAGATTTTTTCGAAATCTCTGCTGGAATTTGGATGTGGATAATACTAAATTTAATGCTAATTTTTGGAGAATTATAATAAATTTCTCCATTTATGCAGATTGTCCTTTCTGTCATTCTAGATAATTTTATGGTTTTCTTCATAAAAGTCTTGTATATTTTCAGTTAATTTACAACTATTTTAGGGAGTTATTGTCTTATTGTCTTAACACTTCATTACAGTGTTTTAATTAAAGAGTGATAATAAAGAAAAATTTTTTTGCCTTATTTCTGATTTTCATCAAACATTAAGTGTAACATTTATGTTTGGTACTCTGTTGATAACTTTTAACACTTAACGAAGTTCATTTTTAATTTTCCTAAAATACACATTGTTGACTTGGTTTGTAACCATTCGTTTAGACTTTTTTTCTGGTTGTATCATTGTCTTTTAACTGCTGTAGCCTCAGTGAGGAACTTGAAGCATGGGGCTACATGGTCTTTTGACTGGGTGGGTGTTGCCAGATACTTAGAGGTACATTCTGCGTCTCGGAGCCAACTGCTTATATCTTGGTTTCTACTTGAGGAAGACACTTCTGGGGCTTGCTCCTTTGCCCATGAGGGATACAATGATAAAGAGTTAAACTGCTGGGCTATTTCCACCAAAGTGCCTAAATTAATCACNCCATTTTCTCCTGTTATGGATTTGTACATTAAAAAATAGACAGCACTGCAGGGTGACTACATTTAACAATTTATATAATTTCTAATAGCTAGAAGAGAAGATCTGGTATGTTTTCAACACAAAGAAAGGATAAATGTTTGAGGTGATGAATATGCTAACTACCCCGATTTGATTATTACACATTGTGTTTGTGTATTCAAATATCCCATTGCACACTATAAATATGTAAAATTACTGTGTCAATTAAAAATAACAAAACAAAACATATTTTCTCTCCTTTCTAGTAATTAGTGGTGGGAAGGGGAACTAGCATCATGTGCTCAATTTGTTTTAGAATTAAAGACAAAGACAGAGTATAGGAGAGTTTTGAGAATCACTTATCTTTCAAATGCCAATATTATCCTGAATGGGGAAAAGTTGAAAGCTTTTACATTAAGAACAAGAACTAGACAAGGATGCACACTCTCACCAGCCCTATTCAACACAGTGCTGGAAGTACTAGCCAGAGCAATAAGGGAAGAGAAGGAAATAAAGGGCATCCACACTGGAAAAGATGAAGTCAAACTGTCCCTGTGTGCAGATGATAATGATCTTATATATTGAACTGCCTAAAGCCTCTACAAAAAAAACTCTTAGAGTTGATAAATGATTTCAGCAAAGTTGCAAGATACAAAATCAACACACAGAAATCAGTAACATTTCTATACTCCAACAATAAACTAGTAGAAAAAGAAATCAAGAAATCTAGTACTTTTACAATAATCACCAAAAATATTAAATACTTAGGAATAAAGTTAACCAAGGATGTGAAAAATTTCTATGAAGAGTACTACAAACCACTGTTGAGAGAAATTAAAGAGGACACAAGAAGACGGAAAGATATCCCATGCTGTTCAATTGGAAGAACTAACATTATGAAAATGTCCATATTATCCAAAGTGATCTACAGATTCAATGCAATCCCCATCAAAATTTCAATGACATTTTTCTCAGAAATGGAAAAAAACAATCCTAACATTCACATGGAATAACAAAAGTCCACGAATAGCTAAAGCAATTCTGAGCAAAAACAAAGTAAAGCTGGAGTCATAACACTACCTAATTTTATACTATACTACAAAGCTATAGTAACCAAAACAGCATGTTACTTGCATAAAAAAAGACAGACCAATGGAACAGAATAGAGAATCCAGAAATCATCCTGTACACCTACAGTCATCTGATCTTCAAGAAAGGGACACCTATACTCCCAAGTTTATTGAAGCACTATTTATGATAACCAAGAGTTGGAATGAGCCCAAATGTCCATCATCAGATGACTGGATAAGGAAAATGTGATATATGTACGTGATGGAATACTACTCTGCTATATAAAAAAAAAATGAAATACTACCATTCACAACAACATGGATGGACATAGAGAAAATTCTATTAAGTGAAATAAGCCAGGCACAGAAAGAGAAATGCCACATGTTCTCACTTATTTCTGGGAGCTAAAAATAATAAATAAATAAATATACAAACAAATAAATAGGGTGGGGGGGAAGAAGACAAAACAATCACAACAATTTCTTGAACTTGTTAAGAAAAGTGAATGGATATGATGCTGAAGTGAGGGGAAGGAGGAGCTGGTAAATGGACATGAAAGTCAAATATATTGTATATTGATAAAGTAAAATAAAAACAAGCAAATAAAAACAAAGACAGAGTTCAGCAAAGCTTTGAGAATCATTTAGTTTTTGAATGTATGCTCAGCACTTGCCCCATAGTGGACCATGTGGCAAGGACCTAATTGCCCTCTAAGACAATGCTTCAGCATCTTTGTTTTGTCATATCACATCCATGTCATTTCTGTTGTCATTCTCTTAGCTAGAACTCAGTCACATATGTCAACAACTGTCAGGAAAGCTGGGAAATGGAGCCTAGCTGGGTTCACAGGAAAAAGAGGACAGAGGATTTGGGAGAATAGCCAGCAGTTTTTACCACAGCTAATAGGTAATAGACTTGTAGAAAAATATATATCTGTAATATGCCCAATTTGCTTCTGTAACAAATGCTTGCTAAAAACGGGAAAACATAGCTAATGACATTTCAAGTAAAGCAGCTTCTAAGGGGCTAGAGGTCAAGTGGGCCAAGGTGCACTAAATTCCAAGAAAGGAGTGGCCACCACCCGGTTCCAGGAACTGACCAGTTCCTTATCTAGAGGCCACCTGGCCAGACCCCAGGGAAGATAAACAATTGAGAAATGCACTGTTCCTTATTGGGGTACCAGCCCGCTAAAGCCTACCCATAAATCTAAAGGCGCCACAGATAACCAACAACTCATCCTGTTAAAAAAAAGTCTGTCTAAAAAACTGTATAAAAAGTGCTTGTGTTAAGAGCTTGGGGCCGCTTCAGTCCTGAAGACATACCCGCACATTTCAGCCACAGGAATCCTGGAGGACGCTCCAGATTCCTCTGCAGGAGACGAACAGGTTCAACTCCATGGGAGATCTCTAGGTAGGAGACCCCTCCCGAGTTCTCTGATATTCTGGTTGTGGTGCCCGTGGCAGGGGCACATCAGTGTTTTGTTTTTTGTTTGTCTAGTTGCATGTGTGTGGGGACTGACAATTTTCTGGAGCAACATAGGGAAGACTGTCTCAACCCCTTTAAGTCTTACTCTGAAATACTGGACTGACTTAAAGGACAGAGCTAATAATTTGTCTGTGCAGGTTAGAAGGAATAAGTGGGTAACACTTTGTTCTTTGGAGTGGCCAGCTTTCCAACTCGGGTGGCCTGCTGAAGGTTCCTTCTCCCCGCCGTTGATCACAGCAATAAAAAGAAAGGTTTTCAGTTCTGAAAGTCACCCAGACCAGATACCTTATATCATTGTCTGGGGAGATCTAGTTACAGATCCTCCTCTGTGGGTCCGTCCCTTTGTTCCCCTAACAGGTTCATTAGCTGTATTTGCTCTTCGAGGAATAGAGAAGAAACTGGAGGTCCTGCCATCCACGGACCCAGACTGGCTTCTTTCTGATCCTCCTCCCTATCCCCCTTCTCTCCAAGAAGAGGCAGTCCACCCGTCGGCTCCACCAGAGGACTCACAAGAACCCGAGAGAGGGCCTGCTCAAGGGACACGCAGTAATCTTCCCTCTTTGGGCTTATGGCCCTCCTGATGAAGAGGGCAACCAGCCCTTACAGTACTGGCCTTTCTCTTCTTCCAATCTTTACAATTGGAAATCTCAGAATCCCCCTTTTTCTGAAAACCCCCAGAGTCTCACTAACCTTGTCGAATCCCATCTATTTACTCACCAGCCCACCTGGGATGACTGCCAGCAGCTCCTCCAGGTCCTGTTCACCACCAAGGAGAAACAATGAATCCTCCTGGAGGCTTGAAAGAATGTTCCAGGAGACGATGGGTGACCTACCCTCCTTCCTGATGTTATAGATGCAGGATTCCTGTTGACTAGACCAAACTGGGATTTCCACTTGGCAGAAGGTAGGGAGCACCTGAAGGTCTATCGCCAGGCTCTAATGGCAGGTCTCTGAGGGGCAGCAAAATGCTCCACCAATTTGACTAAGGTAAGGGAGGTAATCCAGGGGTCCAATGAGTCTCCATCAGCATTTCTGGAGAGACTCATGGAGGCATTCCATCAGTTTACCCCGTATGATCCTAGTAGTGAAGAGCATAAAGCTACGGTGACAGTTGCGTTTATTGACCAGTCTAGTAGAGACATCAGGAAGAAACTGCAGAAGCTTGAAGGGTTACAAGATAAGTCATTGAGGGAATTAGTGCAGGTGGCTGAAAAGGTTTATCATAACAGAGAGTCAGAGGAAGAAAAGGAAGAGAGAAAGCAGAAAAAGCAGGAAGCTAAAGAAATAAAGAGGGAAAAGTGCCAAGAAAGAAATTTTCAGAAAATTCTGGCCACTGTATTCAGGGAAACTAGGGAGCCTAATAAGACAGTGCCAGGCAATAAGAAGGGACCCCTGGCAAGGATCAATGTGCATACTGCAAGGAGAAGGGACACTGGGTTCAAGAATGACCCAAGAAAAAGAAAAAGCCTCAGGCCCCCAAAGTCTTGGCCCTGCAGGAAGACAGTGATTAGAGGGGACGGGGTTCGGACCCCCTCCCCAAACCCAGGGTAACTCTAAAAGTGGAGGGGAAGCCTACTCAGTTCGTGGTAGATACTGGAACCGAAAATTCAGTATTACCACAAGCAAATGGACCCCTTCTCAAAGGGAAGTTGTGGGTACAAGGGGCCACAGGGTACAGGCAGTACTCATGGACTACCCGAAGAATGGTGGACCTAGGCATGGGCCAGGTATCCCACTCGTTCATTGTCATTCCTGAGTGCCCCTACCCACTACTGGGAAGAGACCTCCTCACCAAAATGGGTGCTCGAATTCATTTTGACCCCGAGGGACCTCGGGTGTTAAATTGACAAGGAAGGCCTCTCCACGTACTAACTCTTGGGCTGGAGGATGAATACCAATTGTTTGAAAAACAAGGGTGGGAGACTGGACAGATGGACTGGTGGTTAGAATACTACCCCCAGGCGTGGGCAGAAACTGCAGGGATAGGGAAGGCTAAAAACCGGCCCCCCGTCCATGTAGAGCTGAAGGCTCAGGCCAGCCCTATAGCTGTTTGCTCCAGCTGGGGATCCTACGGAAGTGCCAATCAGCCTGGAACATGCCCTTGCTGCCGGTCCGAAAACCTGAGACTAATGATTACCGACCGGTCCAGGACCTCCGAGAGGTAAATAAGCGGGTGACCGATCTCCACTCCACAGCTCCTAACCCCTATAATCTTTTAAGTTCTTTACCTCCAGACAGGACCTGGCATTCAGTACTAGATCTCAAAGATGCATTCTTCTGTTTGCTGCTGACTGTAAAAAGTCAAGATTACTTTGCCTTCGAGTGGAAAGATCCAGAGACTGGCCTAGCAGGGCAACTCACGTGGACCCGCCTGCCTCAAGGGTTCAAAAATTCGCCCACCATCTTTGACGAGGCCCTCCACCAAGACTTGGCTGTGTTCCGGGCCTCTAACCCCGAGGTAACTCTGTTGCAGTATGTAGACGATCTCCTCCTGGCAGCGGCCGACAAAGAACTGTGTCTGGAAGGAACAAAGTGTCTCCTCACAGAGTTGGGAGAACTAGGCTACTGTGCCTCTGCCAAAAAGGCTCAGATCTGCAAGCCACAGGTCAGTTACCTGGGGTACCTCCTTAAAGACGAGAAACGATGGTTGTCAGAGGCCAGAAAAGAGACAGTGTTTCATATTCCACCACCCACTAATCCAAGGCAAGTCAGAGAATTTTTAGGTACTGCCAGGTTCTGCCGCCTATGGATACCTGGCTTTGCTGAGATGGCAGCCCTCTTATATCCCCTCACTAAGAACAGTCAGCCTTTCAAGTGGGGAAAGGAAGAACAACAGGCTTTTAACAACATCAAAATGGCCTTAATGTCCGCACTGGCTCTGGGGCTCCCCGACGTAACCAAGCCCTTCCACCTGTATGTGGCAGAGTCTCTTATTCCAATCTTTTTCTAGTAGCTAGGTTTCCAGTCTTTCCTCAGGCCTCTTTGTTGTGTTTTGAACGAACTACTATACCCTGCTGGGAAGCCCTAGTGTATGATAGAAGTCTAGCCCTGAAAACCTTGCTTTAGATTTTGGAAAAGCTATTTCATCTTAATTTTGCCAGAGTGTAAATCATGCAAATTCTGACACATATCAGCAATCAAATTCTTTATTGCCCTCGAAGATAACCCCAGGATGATCTTTGCTAGCATTCTTTTTGTTTAGCAAAGGATACACCATATGGCATCAGCTATGTTTAAGAATTAGCTAAATGAAGAGAAAAAGCCTCAATCAGTATATTCTAAGTTACTGATATTTATTAGCCAATATGTTACTAAGATAGCAACATATTCTTTAAAATGTCTTCAGTGCCTTTTCAGTCCATCTACTGGTTATCTGAAGTTACTTTTGCATTTTTACTTTTGGCATTGTCACAAGCGTCTTGAATCTCCTCTAGAAATTTTTAGGATTGACTATTTATAAAAAATGAAGTACGTGAAATGCCTATAAGATGTGAAAGTTTTCCATCTGTTTTTCTTTCTTCATTGTCATCACAAAGAAATTATCATTCAGTAAATTGAAACAGAGCAAAAATTACCTAAATTATTACCTCCCACAGTAAGAAACTGGGAAAANCCAGTTCCTTATCTAGAGGCCACCTGGCCAGACCCCAGGGAAGATAAACAATTGAGAAATGTGCTGCTCCTTATTGGGGTACCAGCCCGCTAAAGCCTACCCATAAATCTAAAGGCACCACAGATAACCAACAACTCATCCTGTTAAAAAAAGTGTGTCTAAAAAACTGTATAAAAAGTGCTTGTGTTAAGAGCTCGGGGCCGCTTCGGTCCTGAAGACGTACCAGCACATTGCAGCCACAGGAATCCTGGAGGACGCTCCAGATTCCTCTGCAGGAGACGAACAGGTTCGACTCCATGGGAGATCTCTAGGTAGGAGACCCCTCCCAAGTTCTCTGATATTCTGGTTGTGGCGCCCGTGGCAGGGGCGCATCAGTGTTTTGTTTTTTGTTTGTCTAGTTGCATGTGTGTGGGGACTGACAATTTTCTGGGGCAACATAGGGCAGACTGTCCGGGAAGACTGTCTCAACCCCTTTAAGTCTTACTCTGAAATACTGGACTGACTTAAAGGACAGAGCTAATAATTTGTCTGTGCAGGTTAGAAGGAATAAGTGGGTAACACTTTGTTCTTTGGAGTGGCCAGCTTTCCAACTCAGGTGGCCCGCTGAAGGTTCCTTCTCCCCGCCATTGATCACAGCAATAAAAAGAAAGGTTTTCAGTTCTGAAAGTCACCCAGACCAGATACCTTATATCATTGTCTGGGGAGATCTAGTTATAGATCCTCCTCCATGGGTCCGTCCCTTTGTTCCCCTAACAGGTTCGTCAGCTGTATTTGCTCTTCGAGGAATAGAGAAGAAACTGGAGGTCCTGCCATCCACAGACCCAGACTGGCTTCTTTCTGATCCTCCTCCCTATCCCCCTTCTCTCCAAGCACAGGCAGTCCACCCGTCAGCTCCACCAGAGGACCCACAAGAACCCGAGAAAGGGCCTGCTCAAGGGACACGCGGTTAACAAGGGGCCTCTCCAGAGGCAATTCCTATCTTCCCCCTGTGGGCTTATGGCCCTCCCGATGAAGAAGGCAATTAGCCCTTACAGTACTGGCCTTTCTCTTCTTCCAATCTTTACAATTGGAAATCTCAGAATCCCCCTTTTTCTGAAAACCCCCAGAGTCTCACTAACCTTGTAAAATCCCATCTATTTACTCACCAGCCCACTTGGGATGACTGCCTGCAGCTCCTCCAGGTCCTGTTCACCACCAAGGAGAAACAATGAATCCTCCTGGAGGCTTGA